TTTGACATTAAAAAATAATTTGTAAATTCCAATCCTCAATAATCTTTATTTTCTTTATTAAAGAAGGATTGATTATGAAGAAAAAGCCATTCTGGCTTGAAATATTTACATCTCTTCAGCACATCCTATCTCTCCTAAATCCCTTATTATAGTTTAATTCGATTATTGTCCCCCAAGCTACGAAAATTTGACCCCCGAGAACAACGAAAGATGCTTACACTTTTCCCAACAAAAACTTAAATGAGGTTAGATATCTTTGTCCTAATTCTTTTTTATTCATTGAGTTTGTAAGGAGGAAACATTCCATCATAGTTGAACTTAGTCCAATAATTATCTTCTAAGAAATAAATGGTTAACTATTTTATGAGTTCCCATATCCAACATCCCTTTGGAATGAGTTAAGGCGACTCTTATTCTATTCCTACTAAGGATTTACCTATATATATAAAGAAATAAGGAGAAAGGTCTTAAAAAACAAGATTATTAAATCTTATTGTTATTTTTATTATTTGATTATAGTTATATTAATTTGACTAGACAATCTAAAAATAATGCTAAATATTTTTTTGATATATTCTCGATTTTTCGAATATTTATACAACTACAAAATATAAATGACATCCTTAATGTTTATTAAATAACAATTACTCAAGGCCTTCAACTGTTTCCTTAAATTTAGAATTTTATTAAATCTAAATCTCCAGAACTAAAGATATAGCTTTTATTTCTTATTATAAATCTTAAATCTTAAAAGTGATATATTTGGAATTTCATGTGAAGATGAATAATACCGAATTATTTGGGTTAATAATTCTTAAGAACTACAACTCAAGAAGCCTAAATGGAAATAAATCAAATAATCTTAATAACTTAATTTCAATCAATATTCATATAAGTTAGATTTATTTTAATTGAATAACTGGATAATTGCTATAAAAAATCTAGAAAATAATAAATGATACTTAATATAAATATTTATTAAGGATTGATATCATGTTGGTTTAATATGAATTAATTGACTTAATTATAAATACTTTAGATGAAGTAAATTAATATCAATTTTTGATTCAAATTAAATAACATCAGAAATGATGACAATACACATTAGATTATATATATTCTTTATTGGATTATAATGATTGAAATTACTTAGGTGGATAACTCATCTCTATGATTGAGTTATTTTTTTTAATATAAATGTATTATTACATTCCCTTTAAATTTGGTTGCTTAATCCTGTGGATTTAATTCTTTTTTAACTAATTAGAATTAAATTTTTTATACTGTAAATATAGATATATGCCTTTAAAGAGAATACTAGGATCTTTTTTAACTATAGAAGTTATCCTTCAACTAAATTTAATGATTAACTTAGACAATGAAGCAATCAGTTATTTGAATTTGGATAATCAATAAACCAGTTGATTCAATTATCCTTATATTTTAAATTAATATTTGTTTAATGAATTAAAGCAAGATTTTTATAAAACAGAAGATGTAATTTTGGTTATTGATTATTGTTAAAATAAAGTAAAATCCTGATGAATTTAACATTTATAAAATAAGGAATCTATATTTTCAAATTTTAGATATAGATCAAGCATTAAATTATTTAATATAGGTTATTTAGAGTTTAAAAACTTACTATTGCTTATCAATATAAAGGTTCAAATTTATCCTCTAATACTTATTCTTATAGAGGTGTCTTATTATTAAGTCACTTAGGACTTGTAAGTTAATTTCTGGGTGAAGATGCAAAAACATTCAGTGATGTAACTACAGTAATTTCAATTAATATCCCAAACTAATTTCGCTTATTATCTTTGAGGTAAATTTATTACATAGGGCTTGCTTAATAAAGAATTTCAAAATAGATTACATAATATTAAGTTTTATATTCAAGAAAGAAACTTTGGATCAGAATTCTGATTTGTGGAAGGGGCTAAATTAAGATGTAAATTATGAAAAAAAGGAAAGAAATTCTACATGGAGATTACAACTTATAATACAAACAATTGAAGATTAATATAGATTTGTTATCGATATGGAAGACACTTTGGTTTTTAGGATCTTATAATTGCTATTTAACGAGCGAAATAGAAGCATAAAATAATATTTTTGTCCTTATTACTTTGTTTGAAAGATTACAATCTTAAATGTAGCCATGGTCAAAGTCATTGTGTTTAGCGTTATGTATGTTAAATTATTTTCATATCTTAAACAAAGTATGGTTCAGAGTTAATAAGATAAGAATAAACTATATTGTTCTAACAAAAACCTTCAATCTAAAAAAAAAGGCTTAAAACAATGATAATCTCAATATCTGGATTCAGAAATTTATCTAATATTCAAAACATTAAAATCAATTATTAATAATCTATTAATGAAATTAAAAGCCATATTTCGATATAATGTTTTTAGAAGTTAGATAAATCAAAGAAAAAATATTTAAAAAATGAACTATAAACTAAATGATAATATCATTCTCATAGCATATGGCTCAGCTCAATACGACTAATCTTTGTTCTGTAAAATTATTTTCATATCCCTCATATATTATAATAATAATCTAATATTGATATTGTCATATGTTTGAATAAACAGCTAATTTTATTTAATCAAATAAATATTATTTAATGATAAACGTTAAGTAAAATTTTTATTTTAAACAAAATGGTTAGAAATTCCAACAAGTTTTAAGGAGTATATATAATTATATTTGGAACTGTTATATGAATAATACTTGATTGTCTAAAAAACTCTATGTTAAGAATAAGTATTTTATTTTGAAAATGTTAGAAATATATTTATTAATCCTGCCCTATTGAATTTGTCTATCATTTATCAGTAAACATAATAATTATACAATTTTTTGCATTAAAATTATGCGACCATATATGATTAAGTATTTTGAAGTTGTTACTATATATAATTAATTTATTCCTGTCTAGTTAGGCCATCGCCTATTAATTTATGAGCTCAGTCTTATTGTCCAACATAATTTAGATATATCTAATTTAAACTGAAATGGATTAATTATGGTATCTAAAAGAATGATTTATATTTATTTACCAATAAGCAGATTTTAACAAATCAGACATACTGGAATAATAAATTACCGAAAACTTATCTTTATGCATCATTAGGGATTTTAGAAATCCTCATTCTACTTTATAATGTTTAATAAGTAATAAATACTATAAGAAGCTTGCTTATAAATTAAAAATTTTTTCTTTGTTCGGTTTGTTTAATTATAGTAAGAAAACTCTGCATAAGTCTCAAGCAGTAATGATCTTCTTTTATGATTGGCAAAGTTAATTTAACTTTGCTGTTTAATTTCAGACAGTAAAAACCTTGTTTCCATCAGAAAGTTTTATAATAAGCTGTTTAAAATCTTGATAGATGTTCTGATTAAAATGTAAGGTACAAATATCATTTATCATTTTATATAGAATAACTGATATTGTTCTAAATTAGATTAAATTATTTGAATTGCTGGTTCACTTGAACCATAATTCTTAAAGTATAGAAATAAACAGAAATAAATGTTCTAATAAATCAATTATTAATATTTTAAAATATATTAGTCTTCAATTTATCGATATTCTAATTAATAGATTCAGAAATCATTTCATCAAAAAACTATTTGGATTATTTTAATTTAATAGATATTTGCTATTAAATTTAAATTCAATTTTAAAATGATTTATTGGAAAGATAGAAAATGGAAAACTGATGTGAAAGTAGATCTAATTTATGTTTCGAGAAATTAAGAATATATTTTAGCCTTATATAAAATGACAAATATCAATAACTATAATCTATCATTAATTTTTAGAATTAAAAAAGGTAAAACATGTCACCACTTCTGTATTAATTTCTGTATAATCCTCTGTTAGATTAACTCAGTTTTTTATTGATAATTAAAGATATGCGATTTGAATTGTTCTTAGAAAACAATTATTTTCTATTATAAACCTTTATTTTATTTGGCTTAAAGCTATTTAGGAGACCAGATGTGCAAACTTATATTTTGAGAAGTATCTTATTACAAAATCATTTTCAAGATGAGAATCACAATAATTAAATGGATTTCCAAAAAAGATTAAGAACAGCAGTTCATTAAGAATAAAAGATAAATAATCTTAATTTGGTAAGTCTTAATTTTCATTTGTAGCGAGACGGCTAGCATATATCAACATTATTGGTACCATAATCAGACTTGCACTTTAGCATAATGATCCTGAAATGACCCTAAGGATGAATAATTGGAGTTAAGATGCTTGAGGATGGCCTTATTTGACTAAACAAGAATACCTGAGAAAGACTGATCATCTAGATTAAAATTAATAAAAATGTAAATTTAAACTTGATTAAATATTTCTGGCATTAATTTTTAATAATTGCTTTTAAAATTCTTGGATTTTCAAAATTAATTTTAATTCTGAAATATATCATCTCAACCAAATTTATTTTAATTTTTGAATGAAAATTGTATTATTACTTGTTGAGGATATATATTTTTAAGACAATCATCCAATCTAAATATCTCATTTAAGAATTAATCTTCCCTTCCTTTGCATTTTTATACAATCTTCAAATTAACATTTTTTGCTTTGTTTCATCAAGATGCCTTTTTCTAAGCAAATATTTTAGTGAGGAGCTGACAAATTCTATCCAGGTATTTTTATTTATAAAATTGATTATGACTCTACTGAAAAGTACTTCGTTTACTTTCGGATTAGTATAAATTGATTTAGAGCATAAATTTCAATTAACTAATACAATTATACATATTAAAGATTTTCTTTTGTTTTTCTTTGATAGAGTGTTGACAGAGCAATAGTGCTGTTGTTAGATTTCCTTCAGTTTTTGAAGCAATATATAAAATATATCTCTAACAAAATATATTTTAGGCTAATAATCAAGAAAAAATCTAAGTTTTTAATTTAGATACTCCTATTTGTAAATTTTTGTGCAAATCAAGAGTATATTTGATATAAATAATTTTTGAATTAAGTTTTATTTAAATTATGATACTTAAATTATATAAAAGTTGATTAGAAAGAAATTTTTAGTTGAGAAGAGGAGTTTAAGGTTTTATCTATTACTATAATTTGTGTATTTAAATTAATCTTTCTATTTTTGTTTCATTTCTAATCACTGTGTTTGACAAATTCTTCAATTTAATGTGTGCCAGTTCCTTGATCATAATGATGACTAAGCTTAGAATGTCAATGTAGTTGAAATGTTATAGAAATTAAAGATATTTTTTTGTTTTTTCAAATTTGCTTTTTTTGCAAATAGTTGTTTATTCATTCAATTGTATGAATAATCACTTTTGTGTTGAATTTTAGTAAGGGATAAATAATTTAATAAGATCTACTCTTTATTAAAAATGGCTACATGTAGTGGAATATCTAATATTTACTCTAGTTTTGAACTTTGCTTAGTTTAATTTTATGGAAGATAAAAAACAAATCCAGAGCATAATTAAATTAAACTTATTAATTAAAGTTAGGAAATTCACCCTCCAAAATATTTCATCTAATGAGCACTACTTTTATGATGGAAATAATTGTTTAAATTTTACAAAAATTTTATAATTTTACTCAAAATCTAAATTAATTAGAGATGTATTATAATAAGTTTTATGGTTATAACATGAGAAGCTTTTATCGAAGCATGTCATATTGAGGAAAAGATAAAAGTGCAGGCTATGAGGGATATATTTGTTTTGATAAATATTTGGATGTTTGTGGTCATAAAGACTAACATTTTAGAACTTACAAAAATAAATCCATAAATATTACCTGTAAAAGA